CCAATTAGCCATTAATACTACCATAAGAACGGCAAGTCCTATAAGTCCACGACCTTTTCTTCCGAATTTTGGCCAGTCAAGAAGTTTACCAAACAAAAAGGCACCAACAATTTGAGCAGTCCAATACCATAAAGAATTAAATGGTCTTGTACGAATGTTAAAATAAAATGCATTTACACCATTAAACTGAAATAATATGTATTAAGTACTTGTCAATTAAATTTTTTTTTAAAATATATATATTTATATATTGAGATATAAAATGTGTACCTGATACGCGTAAAACCAATTACTGGCAATAAACATAGGAAAAAGTAAAAGCATTTTCCAATCTATGAAAATTTTTAAAACGCCGGTAATTTCTTCAGCCCAATTAGGAAATTTTTGAATAATAATAGGGCGACCATCATCATGAACAACTTTATCCGGTGGAAGTAAAAGCAAAGCTAACAAAGAACCAAGTCCCATAAGAACCATGAAACCAATGTAGGTTCCATCGTTAACAGATCCCGCTTTTGAATTCCAATTAAGAGCAATTGGGACAATAGAACCAAGAACACCACCTATATCAAATTAAGGATAGTTGAGAAATATAAAAACCTTTTTTATACTTTTTATAGAATACATAAACAATATATATATACCGAGATTAAAAATCACCCAAAATATTCCAATGTATTTCCCTTTATCAGATTCAGTTGGATATGATAACATAATTGCACCTTGACCTGTCCACAGTAGTGCAGCGCCTAAAACATTATGTGTTAATAAGCCATTTAATTATTATACATATAACATTATTTAAAAATATACCTAATCCAAGAATTGCGCCTGAAACTATAGGAAAAGTATCATGTTGTTGATGATTATAATATAAGAGCGAACCCGAATATAATGCATAAGTTAAACCACCGAGAGCCAAAGATAAAGATGGACCAATTTTATTAACAACTGGGCCAGCAAAAAGTCCACCTACGGCAAAACAAGTGTATAATGCTAC